AAGGGAAAATGCTTAAAAGTTTGACGGTGCATATCCGTCATATGAGGTTTTATTTAGGTGCAGCGACTACCATGAACGCATATCGTTTCAAATCCGATATTTTGGAAACTGAAGCATGCATCATATTCCCTTGAATTTTTCAGGTCTGATTTCAAATAAATAAAGCTTCCATCATGTATAATTTTGTTGTTTTACATTGATTTATAGCAATTTTATCAAGGTTGTGACATTACTTTAGATCAACCCTCGTATGTTCATCATTTATCATCACCGTGACAAGAATAATACATTAAACTAATTTTCTGTATCTAATCAAATAGCTACTCCAGCATGCTACAGACTTACTGCGAAATGCTTTTGATTTGCTGCTACTAAAATCCCAAATGGAAAGAAAAGTAGGTTTGGCCATGCTGTTCTTTACCCGATTTCCCCCTTGAAATAAGTTATTTTGACCCCACCCTACCCATCTGTCAATGAAAGTCATAATTTGGAAACTTTACAATCTACGCTACCCAATAATGCTTTCACATACGTTTCAGCTTTCCTTACCCAGTGATTCTTGAGAAGGATATTTTTAAAAAATTTTCCTATAAATATTTCTATATAAAACTTCAATTTCAAATTATGGCCCCGACCTCAAGGGTCATCGAAAGCAAGTCTGGTAGTAGACATCCCTAGATGCTTCATCCATGCAAGTTTTATCCGGGTAGGGCCAAACGTTTCTTGGAGATAGACCTGCTCAAAAAACTTGAATTTGGTCACAAATAAAAAAATATAGGTCAGATCCAGCCTTGTTAGCAGGTTTGGTGATGTCCATCCCTAGATGCATCATCTATGCAAGTTTAGTCCGGGTAGGGCTTATAATTACTAGGAAATGGACCTGCACCAAAACCTTCGGCTTGGTCAAACATTTGGTAAATTTAGGTCAGATCCAGCATCTGAAGCATGTCTTGTAGTGCCCATCCCTAGATACAAGATCCATGCAAGTTTGGTCCTTGTAGGGCTAATAGTTCCTTTGGAATAATGGACCTGCTCCAAAAACTTTAACCTGGTCACCCCTCTGGAAAATGCAAGTCAAATCCAGCATTTGAAGCAAGTGTGATAGTGTCCATTCCTAGATGCATTATCTATGCAAGTCTTGCCCCTGTATATGCAATTTTGCAAAAACAAGAACTTAATACAAGAGGATCTTGGGGCATAACACTTACCTCATTTCTAGTGCTTTATCAGGTTTTTTATGAACTTTAATCTCCTATTGTGGCCCCCCTACCCCTAAGAACCAAGATTCAAAGAAATTAGAATTAACACACACTACTGTGGTTTCATCAATATTCGTTGAGCACCAATTTTCGTGGATTTCGTTGTTGAGCAAATCCACGAATTTAAATGTTCATATAATTACAAAAATGACATTCAATTGTATATGCAATGCTTTTGTCCAAGAAATTATGTATCCTCGAAACTTTCTGTTGAACAAAATCCACGAAAATTGATGCCAACGAATATTGATGAAACCACAGTATCTCAGGAAGCTTTCTTACAAGTTTAAATTTTATCTGGCACAAAGGACCTTTTTTGATGATAATTTTTTGGTGACTTCTTATGACTTCTCCCTTGTTTCCCTTGTTTATCTCCCCTTGGAAGAAAGAATTGTCCGTCTTCACACCCTATTACAGGCAAATGGGACAACAGACAACAGAGTTATTTTTTGCTATGACAGAGAACTTAATGATATGTTTTTGACTTTTTGTCATTGTGTTTTCCAGTTTTGGCCTTACCTTAAACTATAATTCTGTTGAATACAAAATTATGATTTTGTATAAAAACAAAACAAGACGCCCATGGGACTTATAGGTCACCTGAGCATTTTGCAACAACTTATGCAACAGTGATTGCATTTGATTCATGTTTTAAGCCAACTGCTATGGCATTCACAATTTTGAAAGAGGCACCATTGATCATCATAAAAATACACTTTAAGTTAGCTGTTGCTTTGTTTGTTTACTTAATACCCATACAGAGGGTAGGGGAACATTGCATTTCAACTAATCAGTAATTTTCAGCAAAAATCAGTAGTGCCCTACCACATATGAACCCCTAACCCTTAGGCCTTGCTATTTGATTAACACCAAGGAGCAAGATTTCAAACCATAAATTCATTATCAGTATATAAGTATACCCCCCTCTATGGTACCCCTGACCTTGGGCCTTGAAATTCACAATTCTGGAAGATCAGGGCCATTGTCCATCATAACTATAAAGGTAGTTCATCTACTTAATACCCTGGAGCAGAGAAGAACATTTTCAAAGATTCAATGTATTTTCACTATATAATCAATAGAGCCCCGCCATAACACCAGAACCCCTGACCCTGGGGCCATAAAATTCACAATTTTGAAAGAAGCACTTTTGTTCATCATAAATTTGTACTTAGTTAGTTTATTAAATTTCTAGGAGCAGAGAAGAAAATTTTCACAGAGTTCATGTATTTTCACTATACAACTTATAGCCCCGCCCTTACACTAGAGCCCCATGACCCTGGGGCCTAAAATTCTTAATTTAGGTAGAGGCACTCTTGCTCATGATAACTATGCACTTAGTTAATTTAATACCCAGGAGCAGAGAAGATTTTCAAAAAATTCATGTATTCACAATATAATCAATAGAGCCCTGCCCTTAAACCCCAAAACCCCTGACCCTGGGGCCATAAAATTCACAATTTTGGTAGAGGCACTGTTGCTCATGGTAACTATGCACTTAATTAGTTTATTTGATACCCAGGAGCAGAGAAAAAGATTTTCAAAGAATTCATGTATTTTCACAATATAATCAATAGAGCCTCGCCCTAACACCAGAACCCCTGACCTTGGGCCTTGAAATTCAAAATTTTGGTAGAGGCACTTTTGCTCATTATTACTATGTACTTAATTAGTTTATTTAAAACCCAGGGGCAGAGAAGAAGATTTTCAAAGAATTCATGTATTTTCACTTTATATATAATCAATAGAGCCTCGCCCTAACACCAGAACCCCAGACCCTGGGGCCATAAAATTCAAAATTTTGGTAGACTTCTTGCTCATCATAACTATGTACTTAGTTGGTTTATTTAATACCCAGGAGCAGTGAGGAAAATTTTCAAAGAAATAATTCATTTTCACAACCTGCTTATTTAGCCCCACCCTAGCACTAGAAGTCTAGAACCCTTGAACCCAGGGCCATGAATTTCACAATTTTGGTAAATGACTCATTGCTGATTACAATCATGCAAACAGTTTGACTGCTTGATGTACAGGAGTAAAAAAGAAGATTATGAAAGATTGCATTAATTTTAGTGGTTTTGGCCCCACCCCTCATGCCAGGGGGGGCAGGGATCATGAAATTTACAACTTTTGTTCACCTTCAAACATTGATGCTTTGTGCCCAATTTGATCAAAATTGGTTCAGTGGTTGCAGAGAAGAAGCTGAAAAGGTTCAAATGTTAACATACAAATGCACGACGACGGACGAAAACATATAACAATAGGTCACCTGAGTTTTCTCAGATGACCGAATAAGAACAGAATAAAGTTAAAGAACAAGGTATGGGTTAAGGTAAAGTTTTGAAACTGGTTTAAATATTAGTTAAATAAATGACTCAGTCAGATAAATCAGGAAAGAATATGGCATGAAGGTTTACCATTCTGCAAAAATTGCGTCATAAATGTGAAGCATTTTTCTATTTTCAAAAAAAGTCTCAAAATGGCACATTTCAAGGGTGATTTTCCCTTAGAAAACAGTGTCCACAGCCGTCGCCTGCATCAATTTTTTGATATTTTGTGCAAAATTTAATAACAAATCACATATCTCAAGATCTTTGTGGCGAGGCTTGTGAACAATGTTATCTGAAAAAAAATTACTTTGAAAATTGGTGTCTTCTGCAACTTTTTAAGAAAATTCAGGAAAATGCACATGACATGATAATAAGCATTTAAAAGCACGTTGGAAAATGACTTGTATAATTTTTCTGCATTGAATTTCAATCATTTAAAAAGCATGAGTTTTCAACTTTTACACCAGTTTCATTTTTTAGAAAATCACAGGGCAAAATTTGTATGGAAACCATACCTTCTTCTTTCAATTTTTGTTCAAGGAAAAAACATGGTCATACTGAGCTCACATTATTAAAATGATTAAAACTGGGGGTTTGAAAATTTGAAATATGCTAAAGCAAAAGATGCTTTGTGCAAAGCACACACTTAAGAAGTAAAAAATAAGAAATTTTATAAAAAGAAAAAATAATATTACAAAGACTGATGAACATTCTCAGGTTTTGGGTGATCCATAAAGCTCACTTCAGTTTTCAGCTCAGGTAAGCCAACAATATACTGTAGAAGTACATTTTTCGCGTGGTATTAATTAACACTATGTGGTCACAAATTTTCCGTGGAAATTTGTCAAAGCGTACTTTTTATAAATGTTAGGCATTAATAACAGTCTAGGAAATCTGAGTAATTTTCTACTCGCAGTTAAACAGAAATTGAGATTCCGTGGAATTATGACCCCGTGGAAAAAAAGTACCTCTACAGTAAAAGACATGAATTATTATACCTATTTTGCCCATAGTCATTGACATAAATGGAAACCAATTCCTTTTGTAAAGACTGTAACCAATCCTATAACCCTATAGGCCATACATTTTTCTTGTTATAATTTGTATTTCTTAAGTACTGTAAATGACTTTTTATTCGCGAAAACTTTATTTTCGCGTAATTACGAGAGACAGTGTGCTTGGCAAAAATTAATTCTCGTGTATAATAGCATTTCTTAAGATTATATAGAGCAATAACCACAATTCATGAAAATTTTGTTTCGCTAATCAAAAGTCAACTACTATCTCGTGAAAATAAGGTGTCGCGAAAATTATGTTATCTACAGTATGGCTTTAATTGTTCATTCTTACGATAGGTTGGAGATCTGTTTATTCCTTTATAATTCTCATTTCTACAAGCCAGAATACTTACATCTTTAGATTTTTTCTCGGTGTGTGTGACAACAAGAAACAGTGGTGCCTTTTTGCCTCCAAATGTCTTGATTGAGGTTATCCAAAACTTCAAGTAGTCTAAAAGAAACAAAGGTATGCAAGACTAAAGGAACAAATAAAGCATAATAATAAAACTAGACTCTATAATGAGACTGTAGCTTTACTGGTTAGTATTTATAGCAACGGAAAAGAAAAGTAGCACTTTGTTTTAAATTCTTGCAACAGCAATAAATATAATGAATATTTCTAAGTGTTTTGTCTATATGTAGTGATGGGGAATCGGAAAAAAATCAGAATCGATTATCGGTAATAATCGGCTGGGCATAATCGATTAATAATCGATTATAATCGAAATTTAGAACTTTAATGAAATTAATATAGAAAATTTAAAACTTATTCAGATTTCTGTCAGACTTTTACAAAAAAATCTTTTACTTACATAAAATATTCAAAAATGTGAATTGAAATTTCTTTTTTAAAAAGTGAAAAATAATATTTTGTTTACTTTAAACAATATAGGACTATTAAAAACAGAATGGGAATTATTTTTTTTATAAAGTGCATGCAATGGGTATTTTACTGATATTAGTCCCACCTTTCATTTAATACATGTATTTATTTCTTAAAATTAGCTTTAATTAGTTAAAATTACAAGTTTTAAAAGTAGTTATCCAGAAGTAAGACTTGAATTTCTGATTATAATTACGTTTAAAGATTGACTAGACTAATTATATTTTCCTTTGTATGGTAAAACCTGGCAATATCACCGTTTCCTGGTTTTAGTCTGACCCCATATTTAATCATGGCGGTTAAAGTATCAACAAGACACGGAATCCTTCCATGTTTTCAACATTCATCACTACTTTTATGCTCTTTGCACTTGGATTTGGTAATAAAATTAAAGTATGACAATTTTATTTTTTGTTAGCGATGTCGGGGACATTTATTTTATAATCGATTAGTAGCATCGAACAGCTTCTAACGAACGACAATCGATTGTCGGCGACAATCGTTCCATCACTATCTATATGTGTGCAATGTTATATTGAAATCAGACCAAAATTGTAGGAGGAGTAGCATTCTAAAAATATTTCACAGAAATTTCTATCTTTAGTAAACATTGCAACACTATTCATCGAAATCAAAATCCTGTATAAAGAATTATGTATCATAGTGCAGTCCACGTGTTCCAAGTTATACTGTAATCAGCCAAAACCTCAGGGAGGAGTAGCGTTTTGAAAATGTTTTTACAGACGGACAGACAACTAACTAGACAGACAGACGGACAGAAGACGGATACCTTACTTTTGCATAATCTTTTACGGTGTCTGATCAGTAAAGCTAAAAACAAACAGGTTTGTCTGATAAGAGTAAGATCTACAGCCTTTTACTTACAACCATGAAACAAGAGGCCCATAGGCCATATCGCTCACCTGAGAAGCTTTGACCATTCTGTTCTTTACCAGATTTCCCCCTTGTTATACATAATGCATTCCCACCCTACCCCACTGATCATAATTTAGACATTTTGAAATCTACACTACCCCATGATCCTTCCATGGGCACATATGTTTCAGCTTTTTTGGCCCAGTAGTTCCTGAAAAGAAGATTTTCAAAGATTTTTCCTATATATTTCTATGTAAAACTTTGATTCCCTATAATGGCCCCGCCTCTCCCCCGGGGGTCATGATTCCTACAATTTAGAATTTACACTACCCCAGAATGCTTCCACATAAGCTTCACTTTTTCTGGCCCAGTGGTTCTTGAGAAGAAGATTTTCAAAGATTTTTTCTATATATTTCTATATAAAACTTTGATTCCCCATTGTGGCCCCGCTCTTCCCCCGGGGGTCATTATTTGAAAAATTTAGAATCTACATTATACCAGGATGCTTCCACATAAGTTTCAGCTTTTCTGGACCAGTGGTTCTTGAGAAGAAGATTTTCAAAGATTTTTTCTATATATTTCTATATAAAACTTTGACACCCCAATGTGGCCCCGCCCTTCCCCCGGGGGTCATGATTTGAACATTTTAGAATCTACATTACACCAAGATGCTTCCACATAAGTTTCAGCTTTTCTGGCCCAGTGGTTCTTGAGAAGAATATTTTCAAAGATTTTTCCTATATATTTCTATTTAAAACTTTGATTCCCAATTGTGGCCCCACCCTTCCCCCGTGGGTCATTATTTGAACAATTTAGAATCTACATTATACCAATTTAGAATCTACATTATACCAAGATGCTTCCACATATGTTTCAGCTTTTCTGGCCCAGTGGTTCTTGAGAAGAAGATTTTCAAAGATTCCTATATATTTCTATATAAAATTTTGATTCCCCATTGTGGCCCCGCCCTTCTCCCGGGGGTCATGATGTGAACAATTTATAATCTACACTATACCAGGATGCTTCCACATAAGTTTCAACATTTCTGGCCCAGTGGTTCTTGAGAAGAAGATTTTCAAAGATTTTTCCTATATATTTCTATATAAAACTTTGATTCTCCATTGTGGCCCCGCCATTCCCCCGGCGGTCATTATTTGAACAATTTACAATCTACACTACCCCAGGATGCTTCCACATAAGTTTCAGCTTTACTGGCCCAGTGGTTCTTGAGAAGAAGATTTTTTAATGACCCAACCCTATTTTTGTCTTTTCTTGATTATCTCCCCTTGCGAGGGGATATGTCCCTTCATTTTAACAATTTAAATTCCCCTTCACCCAAGGATGCTTTGGGCCAAGTTTGGTCAAAATTGGCCCAGTGGTTCTTGAGAAGAAGTAGAAAATGTGAAAAGTTTACAGACGGACAGACAGACAGACAGGCGGACGGACGACGGACAAAATGTGATCAGAAAAGCTCACTTGAGCCTTCGGCTCAGGTGAGCTAAAAAAATGTTGAATCAGAACTTATTCATTACTTTTTTTTGTCTTTACTCTACTCTAACAGAATTTATGAAATAACTAGAAAACTGACCAGTCAGCAAGGGCCCCGCCATTGGGTAGAATTAAAAGGGTGCAGCTTACGAAATGATTAAAAAATGTACGAAGCATAAGCAACAGCAACTGTATTCTTAAAATTTCAAGATAATTCCTGAATATTCAAAAACCTGAAAATAATATCCTTGTATTTACATTAGGCAGTAAAGAACAACTTAACATTGAATGTATATTTAAACAATTATGAAGCTTGTGTTATATAGAATGCCAGCCTTCAATGAATGCAAATATCATGAAGGCTTGACCTTAACTTCAAGCAAACAGCAGTTGCAGACAAAGGTTTTCATTAATCTTAAAGACAGATAAAGAAAAGCCTACTAAATTTTCTGCAGCAGGCTAGATAATTAATCCCAAAGGATTAATTGTACCTCTCTCATCATTTTCTTCTAAAGTTACAATAAGAACTTTTTCAGTATTAATGGGTTTTTATACAACAACCTTAAAAATTAATTAACATAAAGTGAAAAAAAGTAAATCAAAAAATCTTCTTTAATATATTTCTTGTTTTCAGAATTTAATGAAATCATAACTATTAAACAAAAATAAATTATAAAAATTTATATTTAAATCCACATTTCAGAGTGTTCATAGCATTCCAAATTGACTTAACTTCAAAAACTTCATTTGCAGTCTTTGCAGACAGAGGTGGTAATTCATCTCAATGTGACAGATAAAGATAATGCTCTGGATTTTCTTCAGGAGGAAAGCTAATTAATCCCAAGGGACTCATAGCCAGCATTCAGTTTACAATGGGAACATCTTCAGCAGTTTTCTCTCTTTGCCAATGCATTCTTATATAAAGTTAAGGAATCTACCCCACCACCCCAGCTCCAAACCAGGGGACATAGAGAACCAAACTTAGCATCAAAATATGTATTTCTGCCTACTGAACTACCATACCAAATTTGTACTTAATTGGGCAACCATAAAAAAAAGTTGCCCATTCATTCTTATGCATAGTTAAGGAATCTACCCCACCACCCCAGCTCCAAACCAGAAGACATAGAGAACCAAACTTAGCATCAAAATATGTATTTCTGCCTACTGAACTACCATACCAAATTTGAACTTGATTGGGCAACCACAAAAAAAGCTATTAGAAAAAAACAGAAAATTTGTGGACGGAAGAGTGACAGACGGACAGACGGACAGACAGAGTGATTACTATAGGGCACCCGCAAATCCTTGCGGGGCCCTAATTATTATTTTATAAAGTTATTTGAAAAACAATACAAACTGTAGGAGATGTGGTAGTTGAATTTTAAACATAATTTTACATATCTTCCTTCAGTAACTACGGCATTTGATTTCTACGACAACTGATTTGGAGAAAATAAATATATATCATGATGGCTTGACAGTCCACTGCTAATTTATCTTAAGGGTTAAATCACTAGAACAAGATAGCAGGAAGCCATGTACATGTATCTAACACTACCACATGATCACATACATATATTATAATAATTATACATGTATATATTTTATATACAATAACTGTAGAGTTTAATGATTTTTGATGTAGCGTGTTATTTACTGCTGACCACTATAAGTTGAAAATAACTGCAATGTTGACCTATAAATGCCATGGAACAATACATTATTTTTATTAGGGCTTAGAGGGAAGTTTTAAATGATGCAAAGGATTTTTCTGAAACTCTCATAGCAAAGTACTGAGAGGGCCAAAGGTTTGTATAGAGTTCTATGGGAAAACAATAAGTGGTCTTTTCCCTATCACCGCTTCGATAAATCGCCATGTTTGATCTAAGTCACGTACATGTTTGACGAATATGCTTGCATGCCATACAAATAATCAAGGTTAATAGAGCGTTTGTTTAGAAAATGAAAGTTCATACAAAGTAAAATTGAAATGTGATTATGTTCCAGTGAAAAAATTCCATGTCATGTGGGCAACCAGTAGTCTGTTTTACAAAAGAATTTGTGACTAAGACACAAAAAACTTCATATTATTAAAAAATTTCGCAAAATTAATGATTCTGTTTAAAATTGCAAATGTTAAAAATAGGTTACTTCATTCCTTTTAAAAAGATGAAAACCTTTTATAATATATTGAATTTATAAAAAGAATTAATCTTCATTGAAGTTCTTTTCAAAAAAAAATCTAATCGCCAACAGTAAATTTTATCTGCTTTTGCAAGTGAGTTAGTGGTTATCCACAACCCTGCCTATGATGCATCAACTAAAAAAGTTTAATGAGCATATGCCTGAAATTGTTCAAAATATGATTGATTGATTGTATGTTGTTTAACGTCCCTCTCGAGAATTTTTCACTCATATGGAGATGCCACCACTTGCCGGTGGAGGGCTACAAATTTTGTCCTATGCTCAGCACTCAGGGCCTTTGAGCAGTGAAGGATCTTTTTCGTGCCTGCATCTAATGCGACACGGGGCCTCGGTTGATACAGTCTCATCCGAAGGACCAGTCTCCACGTCCCACAGTGGGATTCGAACCCGTGATGTAAGGATTAACTCCTTACTTCACGACTCTAGAGCAGATGTTCTAACCACTGCGCCACGTGGGCGACGTTCAAAATATGCCTCTAAATCATTTTGAAAAAGAATGGCCACAATATTCAAATAGAAAGTCAACTTGACCTACTTTTGAGTCATACATGATATGAGGTCCTTAGATTCATCAACTGACAAAATTTGATGATCCTATCACATGCAAAAGTGACTCACATAAATTTTATATAAATTGTTAGCATGAAAAAGACGACTTATGAGACATTTGAAATTTATATATGAAAACTATAAGTGATTTTTACATAATTTTCATATGAATTTTACTTAAAGCGCATATCACATAATTATTATTCAAATTAAGAAACCTCACATGAAAGTTCTACGAAAAAATTACGTGAATATCGTTTAAAGTTTCTCACATGAAATTCGCATGAAAAATTTTTACATGATTTTCGTATTATTTTTAAATAATAAGATAATGACATGAATTCCATGTGAGCCTCTTTTTCCTGTGTAGTCCCTATAGTAAGCAAATATCAACATCTTATAATATTAAAATTAATGTTATTTTTTTGTCAATGTTGAAGTGACCTTGAGACCATGCTGTTTGCCCGATGTTAATTCCATGTGCAAATTTTAATCTTCAAAATTGGATTCATCAGTACTTTTGTTTCATATTTTTCTAATTATCTCCCCTTGCCTAAGGATCATGACCCAGTGTTTTTTTCTTTTTTAAGAAGGGAGCTTTCAGGCCAAGGATATTTTGTGACAAATTTGAAAATAATTGACTAAGGGATTCTTGAGTTATGGCAAGTATTCTAAAAAGGTTTATGCACACTGTACAATGCATGCCGCACACAGAACCAATGGCAATAGCATTAGCTCTTTGAATCTTTAGCTCAGAGGAGCTAAAATTTATCATTTTACAAGTGCCTTACCTTTGTATGTCCACACTGAGAAGATTGATCCTTCTTGGTTATCTTTCTCTTTACTGACAACATCCTCAAACTTCTTAGTCATGTCCAACACAAGGATAAAGAAGGCCTTTGGTGTTACATAAATTTGGTGGCAGGCATAATATGCTAACTGGCCAGCAAAATCCAGCATGCTTACTGTTGGTAACTTCTCTTTTTCAGACAAGATTTTCTGAAAAATTTCCTCTTTCACCATAGCTGGAGCTTCTGAGGAGATAAGACTGGCCATTACCTCTACAGTACTTTCTTCTTCTGTGCCCTCCGTGGGTGAACTAGACATTTCCACATTCTCTTCTTTCTTTTCCTCTCGGCTATAAACTACTTCAGTGCTTTTATCAGTACTTCCTACTTCCAAATTTTCTTTTTCATTTGCATCAGAGCTGGCAACAGCACTACTGCTTGGGTCTGGTTTCAAATCTGCAGCATTTATTCTGATAAATGCCTTGAATGGTGAGTCATCATCGGCCACTGAAAAAGAGGAATGCTGTTATTTAGTTCTGTTTTCATTTAGCACATCATAGATTAATTATTTTGGCAAAAAAATTATAACTTGGTTCTCAGCCCTGTTTTTATAAGAACAAGAGATATTTGTAAAACACTTATGCCCCCCTCTCCCCTAAATTGAAATTTTTCAAAGTCTAAAAGGGCATAACTCTGTCAAAAATGGTGCGATCATAACCAAAACAGAACTTGACCAAGATCTTTATCTGATAAATCTGTATACTAAATTTCATTTCAGTATGTGCAATGATTGTAAAGAAAATGAATGAAAACTGCAAATGATTGAAATTTTTCTAAGTTTAAGGGGAATAATTCTGTTAAAAATGGCGCGATTTATCCCAAAACAGAACTTGATCTAGATATTAATATGATAAATCTGTATACAAAATTTCATTTCAAAGTATGTACAACGGTTGTGAAGAAAATGAACGGAATTTTTCTAATTCAAAGGGGTATAACTCTGTCAGAAAAGGTGTGATCATTCCCAAAACAGATCTTGACGTAGATATTCATGTGATATACCTGTATACCAAATTTCATTTCAGTATGTGCTATGGTTGCGAAGAAAACGAACGGAAGCTAAGTGGACTGACAGACCGACTTACCGACAGACAGCAGCAAAGCAATATGCCCTCTCTTCTTCAAAGTGGGGCATAATAAATGCATGAGGGAGACATTGTTTTCTTTTTATCTCATAAAAATCAGATGCGGGATTTATTTTAAAAAGATATAACTTCAAAACTAAATTTTAAGTCAACCGTGTCTTAGCATCAAGTCCACAGTGTTTTAGCATCGAGTTTAGATATCAAAATAATCTATCTCCTGCTTCTTTCTCTTTTCTATTGCATCTTCTACGTCTACATCCCAATAATTCATATAATGAAACGATGTCATCCTAAAACGAGATGTGTTAAACTTTCAGAACCCAACAGTGATGCTGGTCAATTGCTTAAGTGTTTCAGCACAATAAATAGTGCTAATGATTTTTATTAAACATTGTCAAATCCCTCAGTCTTTGGTTTACCCATATTACATGAAATCTGCAAATCTTGCTGACGTCCGAGTTCTGAGGTTCAGGGAGCCATCTCTGATCACGTTATTGATCGAGTTCTAGCATGGAAAACATTTGAAGATAAAAATGGGTAATGCACATTGTTAAATTAACTGCAGATGAGCCTGAAAACCAAATTATAATTTTTTTAGGTCTTATCTCTTTTTTCATATTTGAGGATAGAGAACAAACAGCCTATTGATTTTAACTTAAATTTATATATATATATATATATATATATATATATATATATATATATATATATATATATATGTGTTCATAACTTCAACAATAAATTTTTTTAATGTCTCCCTTCGAAGAATCGAGGGTATATTGGTTTGCTGCTGTCTGTAAGTTGGTCGGTCTGTCAGCCGGTCTAAGTTTCCTTCATTTTCTTCACAACCATTGCACATACTGAAATGAATTGTTGGTATACAGATTGATCATATAAATATCTAGGTCAAGTTTCTTTTGACAGAGTTATGCCCCTTGGACTTGGTAAAATTCCAACTATCTATTATATGATGATTAAATATTTTCCAGCTCTATGGTTGGCTGCTCTAGATTAAACATAATAAGAACTAAAAATATGTTCATCGGACATGAATGCCTTGCCCTGGCTTCATTTGTAAGGCAACATAACACTTGTATTTGTGTATGAAGTTTGATGAAGATATCTTCATGAATAGTTTCTTTAAAACTGTGTTTCATACAAAAACTCAAATGGGTATTTCTATTTGAAAAGTGGCTTGTCTTTTTCATTTGTCCTTTGAATATGTGTCAGAAATTATTTTTACCCTCTAAAACTCCATCTCTAACAATAAAGAGATGATGATGGACTTCCAGTCCCCTGGTGGACTCAGTAACTTCACTGACATTTTGAAGTTTTCCTCTTAATCTCTTCAGCAGTGTTGTTAGTCCCCTGGATGACTTTGGAGCTTTGCTGACATTTTGACTTTGCCCTCTTAATCGCTTCAGTAGCGTTGTTTTTCCAGCCTCAGCACATCCAACAATTATTCCTCTGGCATGAGAAACAGTTGTCTTTTCCTTCCTCAGAAACTTCTTCAACTCATCCACTTTATTTATATCATCACTGTCTGGATCTATAACAAAAACAGAATGTTCTCAGAATGGACATCAGAACACACACATGAAGCAGAATTTGAATTTTTGTTTTAATGCACTTTACAGTTGTACCAGAAAAAAATATGTTACTCTAGATCTGTTATTTTTATATCTTATCTTTCTATCGTATTTTCTGAAATCAGATCCAGAATATTATCTGATTATTTTGCTTTGGTCATATGATTTACCTCATGGGCTAAGAACAAGGATTGAAATGAATCATTTCTTGTAAATAAAATTAATTCCACTGTATAAAGTTTACAAACATAAATACATGTAATACTATTTTTGTAGTGCTCAGAAAAATAGTTATGTCTTTTACTGGAGACACAAGAGGTCCATGGGCCACATGACTCACCTGACTAACTTTGTAGACGCCTTTTTTTAAAACCAGAAATCCACTCTTGTAATATACAATTAATTACCCCTTTTGAGGTCAACTTGGTGAAATAGGGACCTGAGACCTTACCCACGAGGTGACCTGACGGAGGTCATATCCTCTCCCTCCCGAGGGTCATGATTTGAACAATTTAGAATCAACACTACCCCAGGATGCTTCCACATAGGTTTCAGCTTTACTGGCCCAGTGGTTCTTAAGAAGAAGATTTTTAAAATTTTCCTACATATTTCAATGTAAAACTTGGAATCCCTATTGTAGTTCCACCCTATCCCCAAGGGGTCATGGTTTTAACAATTTAGAATCTACACTACCCAAGAATGCCTCTACATAAGTTTCAGCTTTTTTGGCCCGGTGGTTCTTGAGAAGAAGTCTTTTAAAGATGTTTCCTATATATTTCTATATAAAACTTGAATTCCCTATTGTGACCCCATCCTACCCCAAAGGTCATGGTTTTAATAATTTAGAATCTACATTACCCCAGGATGCTTCCATATAAGTTTCAGTTTTTCTGGCAAAGTGGTTCTTATGAGGAATATTTTTTAATGACCTACCCTACTTTCATCTTTTCTTGATTATATCCCTTTGTAAGGGGATTTGGCCCTTCATTTCGACAATTTGAATTCCCAATCAATCAAGGATGCTTTGTATGAAGCTTTGTTAAAATTGACCCAATGGTTCTTGAGAAGAAGTCAAAAATGTGAGCATGCAGTTTACAGAGAGACAGCTAGACAGACAGACAAAATTTGATCAGAGAAGCTCACTTGAGCCTTTGGCTTAGGTGAGCTAATAAAAAACTAACTATGTGTCATCTTACCAACCTTAAGAAGTTTTAACAAGAGGCCCAGGGGCCACATCACATCACATTTCCTTGCTTTCTTTCATTTTTGTTCCTGAGAATTATTCACTTTTAAACATAATGCATTGTGTAAATACAACAAGAGGTCCAGGGGCCACAGCACTCACCTGAGCACATCGGCTAAGAAAAAGCACATATCAGATCAGATCTGAAAGTTTACTGAGGTTGGGGGGGGGGGGGAGAGATTTGAATTTAAACATCCCAGGGGGTCATAATTTGAACAAACTTGAATCTACACTACCTGAGGATGATTGCATACATATATTACTAATCATGGCTTTGAAGAACTTGAAAAGAAGATTTTTAAAGATTTATCTTATAATTTTCCTATGTAAAACTTTGATCGGCCATTTTGGCCCCATCCTACCCCTGGGGGTAATAATTTGAGAACAAACTTGAATCTTAAAGTTTCATCTTTCCTGGCCCAGTGGTTCTTGAGAAGAAGATTTTTAAAGATTTTTCCTATATATTCCTATATCGGCCATTTTGGCCCCACCCTACCCCCGGGGGTCATGATTTAAACAACCTTGAATCTACTACCTGACGATGATTCCACATGAGTTTCATCTTTCCTGGCCCAGTGGTTCTTGAGAAGAAGAATTTTCCTATATATTCCTATGTAAAACTTTGATCAGCCATTTTGGCCCCACCCTACCCCTGGGGGTCATGATTTGAACAAACTTATATCTATACTACCTGAGTATGAATCTACATGAGTTTTATCTTTCCTGGCCCAGTGGTTCTTTAGAAGAAGATTTTTAAAAGTTTATCCTATATATTCATATGTAAAACTTTGTCATGTTTGATCGACCATTTTGGCTCCACCCTACCCCCAGGGGTCATGATTTGAACAAACTTGAATTTTCACTACCTGAGGAGAAGAAGATTTTCCTATATATTCCTATGTAAAACTTTAATTGGCAATTTTGGCCCCACTCTACCCCCGGGGTCATGATTTGAACAAACTTGAATCTTTATTACCTGAGTATGATTCCACATGTGTGTCATCATTCCTGACCCAGTGGTTTTTGAGAAGAAGATTTTTAAAGATTTTTCCTATATATTCCGTTGTAAAACTTTGATCGGCCATTTTGGTCCCACCCTACCCCTGGGGGTAATAATTTGAACAAACTTGAATCTTTACTACCTGAGTATGATTCCACATAAGTTTCATTTTTTCTGGCCCAGTGGTTCTTGAGAAGAAGATTTTTAAAGATTTTTCCTATATATTCCTATGTAAAACTTTGATCGGCCATTTTAGCCCCACCCTATCCCCAGGGGTCATGATTTGAACAATTATGAATCTACACTACCTGAGGATAATTCCAATTGAGTTTCATCTTTCCTGGCCCAATGGTTCTTAAGAAGATTTTTCCTATATATTCCTATGTAAAACTTTAATTGGCCATTTTGGCCCCACCCTACCCCCTGGGGGACAACAACGATAACAACAGACAATGGACAGGTGAGCTAAAAACACAAGATGTGTTTGTGAAACTCTATGTGCCTAGCGGCAAAAAATTAAAAAACATACCTTAAGCATATAGGTCACAGTCAAGGTCACAAGGTCATTGACCTTGGTGTCATTTGAAAGAGTTTAATTAGTGGAGTATGCATACCAAATATGTAGTCTCTTTCGTTCATGGTTCAAAAGTTATGACAAAGGTTAATGTTTGCAGACAAACAGACAAAGAGACAAGCGGATAAACAGACAAACAGACAGGACAATAACAATAACAAATAAACAATTAAAGTTTTTTCAATAAGTACAAAAATCTCCAAGTTCAAGGTCAAAAGGTCAATGTAATTGGTATCAAATGAAAGGTCTTGCCAAATAAAATATTTATGTAGAGTATGGAAGCCGTAGCCCTAACCGTTCAGAAGTTATGACGAAGGTTAATTTTTTTAAAAGTAGGTCAAACTCTAAGGTCAAGGTCAAAGTTCTTATTATCAATTGAAAGGTCTTGTCACAAGAATTAAATATGTAAAGTATGAAACACTAGACCTATCCCTTTAAAAGTTACGGTCAAGGTTTTTAAAAAAAATTTAAAGTATGTCAGTCTCAAAGGTCAAGGTCAAAGGGTCAAAGTTCTTGGTAACCAATGAAGGGTCTTCTCACAAGGATTACACATACGAAGTTTGAAAGCCCTACCCTTACGTTCAAAAGTTCTGGCCAAGGTTAAAGTTTTTTCACAAGTATAGAAATCTACAAGGTCAAGGTCAAAGGCTCAAGGTTGTTTGTATTCAATGAAAGGTTTTTTTAACAAAGATTACATATGTGAGGTATAAATGTTCTGGTATCTACTGTTAAAAAGATATGGCCAAAGTAAGTTTATAATTTTCATGTAAAAGTGAGTCAAACACGAAGGTCATGGTCAAAAGGTCAAATTTGGTTGTACCCAAAAAGGTCTTGTCCCAAGGAATATACATGTGAAATATGAAAGTCATAGCTCCACTAAATCAAAAGTTATGGGCAAGGTTAAAGTTTTTGCGGACAAACAGACAAACAGAGAGACAGACAGACAGAGGATACAACAAAAACTATATACCCCTGAAACTTTGCTTACGGGGGCATAATAAACAATAAACAGATCTTTTGATCTGGGCGCATAAAAATTGCCACTAATACAGAACTAAAAGAAAAGATTACATAGCATGATAAAGTGAGACACCTCCTTCCCACCCAAACCTACCCCAAAAACATCTTGTGTGTGTGTTTGTGTGGACAAGAGGGGGGGGGGTGTACACTGATATGACTCTCAAATTCTGACAATGGTTTCATTTTAACCATAAAATCTCCATGTAATATACATGTAAAATGTCACCCCCCAGTACACAGTGTAGATTTACTGAACACCTGCTACAGAAATACACAACATTCCTAGACAGAGCTGGGTTAATATCAACATGATCAATGGTGTCTATATCTCACTGTCAATACTGTACGAAATGTTTGTAGTCAATGTGATTAAACTTGTTTGAATGCATTGTATGATGTATTCAAAGTATATACATTTGTATCATCTAATGATAAGGTCTATAACATTACCTCCCCCCTTCCCCCTCCAACAGACATGAACCCCACACCAATTTTACAACCATTTTTCCATTTCCTGACATTTGTAGTGATCTATAAATTTAACCTACAAACCATCTAGCAGAGGAATATAAAAATATCATGTCAACCCAAATAGAAGACAGAATCAGTGAGAGTTATTTAACCATGTTTACAATCATTAGAGAATCTGTACAAATTCAGGAATTGTTTGTCACAGACAACAAAGTTAACAACTAACATGACTAAGTACACACTAAAATAACTCTTATTAAATCAAAAGTATAACTATTGAAAACCAAATCATAATTAATTTGACAACTTATCAATTAATAATATTTCATAAAAATATTTCTTGTAACATAACACAAGTTAGAATTCAATTAACCATGTAATGTAATTACACTTAAAACTATCAGTATGGTTAAACCTTAATGTCTTATAATTAAATACAAAACAATGACTATAATATATTGTACACACTACACATTGTAAACAAACATATAATAATACTTCAGTATAACTTACCAGTCAGATTATCCCCTCCATAGATAAGTCTGTAGATGTTCACTGTGTTAGTGTATGTTGATCCTACCCAGATAGAGCGGGTGATGTCATCATAACTCAGGCCGTACGGTGTGTGTATCCCGTGTTGTTCTGTATCTATCTGTGTCACGTAGTTACCATCTTTATCAATGATATGTACTGTGTGGGTGTTAGGATCACACAGCAGGATGTGTGACAGCGCGTCAGTACAGATTCCCCATGGATATAGTCCTGATCCTGATGGGTGACCTGTGTAGGTGAAGCGATGTCTCCCTCTACTGTCTGTCACCACTACAGCACCAACACCAATACCACGAAAGTCAGACACAATAACATCTCCATTGCGGTTCTCTGTGATGTATCCAGGTTCACTATACAGTCTCTGACCTGTGTTGTCGTGCTGTATGGTCTGTATGTGTTGTCCTGTGTTGGTGTAACGGTTTACCTGGCCTGTCCCTGTATAAGGATTATTTATCCCGACCAGCAGGTCTCCAGTGGAGGGGGAGCTGTAGACACACTGTGGTAACCATGGTGCTGTGTTCGGTATCACTGTGGTCTTTACTTTATCTTTAGATCGTTTTATGATGTTACGGTGTCTGTCTATATAAATCACATCACCATTTTGAGTCACAGTATGTACTCCATCACCATATAGACTTAAACCTGTCACTTGATCTAGAATGTCACCTCTCGTGTTTGTTAAGATGAGATTGCCTTTATCATCACAGATCCAGACCCGGTCTGATGACACGAGGGTAATGTGTTTACACCCACTAACACCAGACACGGTGACAGATTTCTGTAACACCAGTCTATACATCACTGACACCACACTTCTTTATCCTGTGACTTTATAATCCTGTGTGGATTTCAGTCAGGGAGATCTCTCTGTAAATTACAACACTGTGTTATAGTTATCTACATCAATAACAGGACTCTCTTTATAATGTACTCATTTAAAATGTCTTGGTTTTCAGAACTTATATCTTTATATGTTTTGGTTCTAAGTAATTATACAGTGTTTAAACAATTAAATAGAATTACCAGACAAACATAAATATCTTGACACTGGCTTCTCAATGCTTTGTCTCTATTCGTAGGTGCCTCCAAGTGTTCTCAATTAAACCTGTCTAACAAAGCAATATTTATAAATTAACAAACATATAAATTGTGACATACTGGAAAACAATTTATGTTTTTATAGATGTTAACATAAAATCATTTAAAACCTGACATTCTATGATATTGTATCTACAATTCAGTGTGTAAACTTTGTAATTTACAGAAGAAAAATCATGATAAAATCTGCATTCTTACCATTACTAATTCATAGTTATTACAATAAAGTGTTAGATAGAAAAGTTCTACAGTAACTACAAGACTCTATAGATAGGTATGATTACTGTGTACTTTAAAGGTACTTGGACACAGATTTGAAGTTAATATTTTCTGTATATTTCTGTATAATATCACAAATTATATATTTTAATAGCATTTCACACAAAAATTAATTAAAAATCTTATTTCATTTAAAAGTTATTAAAATTTTAAATTTTTTGGCGGGTTTGATTGACACATCCTTGCACTTTCACAAATCTTAACTTTATTCTTAATCCTTAGGAAAAGTGGCAATCCTGATGTGTATTAATGAGAAATATTAAAACTTAAATCAAGAAGAATAATTTTATTCAGAGTTGAAATGTTAGAAAGCAGAACTACTTCACAAGTATCGCCATTCCGTTGTGTACAGAGTTTTGCGAATTGATCACACTCGTGTTATGTACACAGGTTTTTGTAAACATGTTATTGTTTGATGTTTACGATTCATCGAGTGCATTAAATCGCCAAAGTCTGTTCACCACAACTGCACGGACTGACAATATATTGTGTGTTTGTTTTGCTTTAGAACATGTCTACTCTGAATTTTCTGGATTATAGTATTAATATTTTTTCATTAATACACATCAGGATTGCCACTTTTTCTAAGGATTAAGAATAAAGTTAAGATTTGTGAACGTGCAAGGATGTGTCAATCAAACCCGCCAAAAAAGTTTTAATAACTTTTAAATGAGATAAGATTTTTAATTAATTTTTGTGTGAAATGCTATTAAAATATATAAGTCATAATATTATAGAGAAAATATTAATTTCAAATCTGTGTCCAAGTACCTTTAACACAGTTATAACAAGAGGCCCATGGGCCACATCGCTCACCTGAGCACACTGGCTAGGAAATAATAGCAGAAATCACTTCAGTATTGAGTAGTTTAGGGTTGGGGGGGGTCTGAAATTTTAAACTACTTAATACCCCATGATGCTTTCATACAACAAATTCCATTACTGTTTTTGAGCAGATGATTTTTCCCTACTTATTCATTTGACCCCCCCCCCGCCCTCCCCATTGTGGCCCAGCCCAAACCGTGGTAGCCCTCATTTGAACCAGTATGACTTTGTACTACCTGAGGATGCCCCCATATCTATATGACTAAAGATTGCTTTTCTGTTCTTGGGAAAAAAAATTCCTTGATATTTATAGATTTCCAATTGTGGCCCACCCTACCCTACCCCTACTTCACATTCATGACTTGAACAAACTTGAATCAACACTACGGATGCTTATATAAAAATATGACCAATCATGGCTTTATAGTTCTTAAAAAGAAGAGTTTTAAAAAATTTGATTTTCCAATGTATTTATTCCTATGTAAAGCTTTAATCGTCAATTGTGGCCCCGCCCTACCACTGGGGGTCATGATTTGAACAAACTTGAATCTACACTACCTGAGGATGCTTCCACTTGAGTTTCATCTTTCCTGGCCCAGTGGTTCTGGAGAAGAAGATTTTCAAAGATTTTTCCTATATATTCCTATGTAAAACTTTGATAAGCCATTGTTGCCCCGCCCTACCCCCATGGGTCATCATTTGAACAAACTTAAATCTACACTACATGAGGATGCTTCAACATGAGTTTCATCTTTCATGGCCCAATGGTTTTGGAGAAGAAGATTTTTAAAAGATGCAATTAATTTTTCCCTAATTCATAATTATCTCCCCTTCGAAGAGGACTTGGCCTTCCATTTGAACAAATTGAATACCCTTCATCAAAGAATGCTTTGTGCCACTGGCAAGTTTGCTTGAAATTGGCCCAGTGGTTCTTGACAAGAAGTTGAAAATGTGAAAAGTTTACAGACAGACAGACGCCAGACAAAATGTGATCAGAAGAGCTCACTTGAGCCTTCGGCTCAGGTGAGCTAAAAAACTAAATTTAGGCATTAGTTAAACCTGTCAAAATGGTGATTTCTTCCTCTTCTTTAGCTTTACATAGTTAAACAGCACATCCTGGGAGACCTGTCAAAATAAACACAGTACAATGAGTAAATATTTCTGCATAGCTTCAATGTCTTAAAAGATTAATGTTATTGTATGGTATATTTTAGATTATTCATGGAAATGTAGACCTGAATTTTGTCAAGTCTTTAAAATACCAACCCGTCATATTAAAAAAGAGGCCCATGGGCCACATCGCTCACCTGAGCACATGGCTAGGAAAAAATAGAAATTGTTTTTTTATTGAAAAGTTTAAATCCAAAAGTAGTCCCATGACCAATCAGGGCTTTGCTATTCTTGAGAAGATGAGAATTTTCCTATATATTTCTATGTAAACCTTTGGTTTGCCATTGTGGCCCGCCTTATCCCCCGGGGTCATGATTTAAACAAACTTGAATCGGCACAACCTTAGGATGCTTCTATATGAATATGATCAATTATGGCTTTGCTATTCTTGAGAAGAAGATTTTTAAGGAATTTTCCTATATATTTCTATGTAAAACTTTGGTCGGCCATTGTGACCCTTCCATACCCCCAGGGGTCATGATTTGAAGAAAATGGAATTTACATTACCTGAGGATGCTTCAATATTAATATGATGAATTATGGCTTTGTCATTCTTGAGAAGAAGATTTTTAAAGAATTCTCCTAGATATTTCTATGTAAAACTTTGATCGGCCAATTTAATAACAATTCAATATGATTTTGATGGCCATTTGCCCTACCTCTTTATGTAGCACCTTTGAGGTCATGATTTGAACAAACTTGAATCTACACTACCTGAGGATGTTTCCCCATAAGTTTCATCTTTTCTGGCACAGTGGATCTTAAATAAGAAGAAGATTTTTAAAAATTGTCATTCATAAAGAATTGATTGAAAGAATTTTCCTATATAAAAAATTTTATGTAAAACTTTGTCATGGTGATTTCTTCCTTTTCTTTAGCATTTTTTCCACCAATTTGAACAAACTTAAAAATAACACATTTTTTTTTCCTAATTCCCAATTATCTCCCCTTGAATGAGGGCGTGACCCTTCATTTGAAGAAATTTAAATTCCCTTTACCCAAGGATGCTTTGTGGCAAGTTTGGTTAAAATTGGCTTTCTTGGAGAAGAAGTCGAAAATGTGAAAAGTTTACAGACAGACAGACAGACGGATACCGGGCAGAATGTAATCAGAAAAGCTCACTTGAGCCTTCGGCTCAGGTGAGCTAAAAAACTAAATTTAGGCATTAGTTAAACCTGTTAAAATGGTGATTTCTTCCTCTTCTTTAGCTTTACATAGTAAAACAGCACATCCTGGGAGACCTGTCAAAATAAACACAGTACAATGAGTAAATATTTCTGTATAGCTTCAATGTCTTAAAAGATTAATGTTATTGTATGGTATATTTTAGATTATTCATGGAAATGTAGACCTGAATTTTGTCAAGTCTTTAAAATACCAACCCACATATAAAACAAGAGGACCATGGGCTACATCACTCACCTGAGCACATGGCTAGGTAAAAACAGAAACTGGTTTATTATTGAAATGTTTAAATCCAAAAGTAGTCCCTTGACCAATCATGCTTTGCTATTCTTGAGAAGATGAAAATTTTCCTATATATTTCTATGCAAAAGTTTGCTCGGCCATTGTGGCCCTGCCTTACCCCAGATGGTCATGATTTGAACAAACTTGAATCTGCACAACCTTAGGATGCTTCCATATGAATATGATCAATTATGGCTTTGCTATTCTTGAGAAGAAGATTTTTAAAGAATTTTCCTATATATTTCTATGTAAAACTTTGGTCGACCATTGTGACCCTTCCATACCCCCAGGGGTCATGATTTGAAGAAAATGGAATCTACATTACCTGAGGATGCTTCAATATTAATATGATGAATTATGGCTTTGTCATTCTTGAGAAGAAGATTTTTAAAGAATTTTCCTAGATATTTCTATGTAAAACTTTGATCGGCCAATTGTGGCCACGCGCTACCTCTGGAGGTCATGATTTGAACAAACTTGAATTTACACTACCTGAGGATGTTTCCACATAAGTTTCATTTTTTCTGGCACAGTGGTTCTTAAATAAGAAGAAGATTTTCAAAACATCCCACCAAGTTTTTTCCTAATTCCCAATTATCTCCCCTTGAATGGGAGCGTGGCCCTTCATTTGAACAAATTTGAATTCTTTGAACAAATTTACCCAAGGATGCTTTGTGACAAGTTTGGTTGAAATTGGCCCAGCGGTTCTTGAGAAGAAGTCGAAAATGTGAAAAGTTTACAGACAGACAGACAACAGACAAAATGTGATCAGAAAAGCTCACTTGAGCCTTCGGCTCAGGTGAGCTAAAAAACTAAATTAAGACATTAGTTAAACATGTCAAAATGGTGATTTCTTCCTCTTCTTTAGCTTTACATAGTTAAACAGAACATCCTGGGAGACCTGTCAAAATAAACTCAGTACAATGAGTAAATATTTCTGTATAGCTTCAATGTCTTAAAAGACTAATGTTATTGTATGGTATATTTTAGATTATTCATGGAAATGTAGACCTGAATTTTGTCAAGTCTTTAAAATACCAACCCGTAATATTAAACAAGAGGCCCATGGGCCACATTGCTCACCTGAGCACTATGGCTAGGAAATAAAAGCAGAAATCACTTCAGCATGGAGTAGTTATAGACGGGGGTCTGAAATTTTAAACTACCAACTACCCAATGATGCTTCCATACAAAAAATGCCTTTACTGTTTTTGAGCAGATGATTTTTTCCCTATTTATTCATTTTGACCCCCCCCCCCCCATTGTGGCCCAGCCCTAACCGTGGTAGCCCTCATTTGAACCAGTATGACTTTGTACTACCTGAGGACGCCTCCATATCTATATGATTAAACATTGCTTTTCTGTTCTTGGGGAAAAAAATTCCTTGATATTTATAGATTTCCAATTGTGGCCCACCCTACCCACCCCCTACTTCACATTCATGACTTGAACAAACTTGAATCAACACTACGTAAGGATGCTTACATAAAGATATGACCAATCATGGCTTTATAGTTCTTAAAAAGAAGAGTTTTAAAAAATTTGATTTTCCAATGTATTCATTCCTATGTAAAACTTTAATCGTCAATTGTGGCCCCGCCCTACCCCTGGCGGTCATGATTTGAATCTACACTACCTGAGAATGCTTCCTCTTGAGTTTCATCTTTCCTGGCCCAGTGGTTCTAGAGAAGAAGATTTCAAAGATTTTTCCTATATATTCCTATGTAAAACTTTGATAAGCCATTGTGGCCCCGTCCTACCCCTGTGGGTCATCATTTGAACAAATTTAAATCTACACTACATGAGGATGCTTCAACCTGAGTTTCATCTTTCCTAGTGATGGAACGATTGTCGCCGACAATCGATTGTCGGTCGTTAGAAGCTCTTCGATGCTACTAATCGATTAAAAATAAATGTCGCCGACATCGCTAACAAAAAATAAAATTGTCATACTTTAAATTTATTCCCAAATCCAAGTGCAAAGAGCATAAAAGTAGTGATGAATGTTGAAAACATGGAAGGATTTTGTACCTTGTTGATACTTTTACCGCCATGATTAAATATGGGGTTAGACTAATACCAGGAAACGGTAATATTGCAATGTTTTACTATAGAAAGGAAAACATAATTAGTCTAGTCAATCTTTAAACGTAATTATAATCATAAATGCAAGTCTAACTTCTGAATAATTACTTTCAAAACTTGCAACTTTAACTAATTAAAACTAATTTTAAGAAATAGATACATGTATTAAATGAAAGGTGGGACTAATATCAGTAAAATACCCACTGCATGGGCTTTGTAAAAAAAAAATTATAATAAATTCCCATTCTGTTTCAATAGTCCTATATTGTTTTAAAGTAAACAAAATATTATTTTCCACTTTTAAAAAAAGAAATTTCAGTTATTATTTTTGAATATTTTGTGTAAGTAAATGTTTTTTTGTAAAAGTCTGCAGAAATCTGAATAAGTTTTAACTTTTCTATATTAATTTCATTAAAGTTCAAAATTTCGATTATAAGATTTTAATCGATTATGCCAAATTATTGATGCTTTTTTTCCATACCCTTCAAATCTTTCCTGGCCCAATGGTTTTGGAGAAGAAGATTTTTAAAAGATGCAATTAATTTTTCCCTAATTCATAATTATCTCCCCTCGGAAGAGGGCTCGGCCTTTCATTTGAACAAATTTGAATACCCTTCATCAAAGGATGCTTTGTGGCAAGTTTTCTTGAAATTGGCCCAGTGGTTCTTGACAAGAAGTTGAAAATGTGAAAAGTTTACAGACAGACGGACGCCGGACAAAATGCGATCAGAAGAGCTCACTTGAGCCTTCAGCTCAGGTGAGCTAAAAACTAAATTTAGGCATTAGTTTAACCTGTCAAAATGGTGATTTCTTCCTCTTCTTTAGCTTTACATAGTTAAACAGCACATCCTGGGAGACCTGTCAAAATAAACTCAGTACAATGAATAAATATTTCTGTATAGCTTCAATGTCTTAAAAGACTAATGTTATTGTATGGTATATTTTAGATTATTCACGGAAATGTTTCATGAAGCCGTAATTACTTATTGTTTATAAAATTAGTCTGATACTCTCAAAACTGTAATACATTTTTTTAATTTCTTGATAAGAAGATTTTTAAACAATTTTCCTATATATTTCTATGTAAAAGATTGGTCGGCCATTTTGGCCCCGGCCTACCCCCGGGGGTCATGATTTGAACAAACTTGATTCTACACTACCTGAGCATGCTTCCATATAAATATGATGTATTATGGCTTTGTCATTCTTGAGAAGAAGATTTTTAAACAATTTTCCTATATATTTCTAAGTAAAAGTTTGGTCGGCAATTTTGGCCCCGCCCTAACCCGGGGGGTCATGATTTGAACAAACTACCTGAAAACTGTCACAAACCTGTTGTATATAAAGGTAAAAATGAATACCTGTATAATGATAATTATCCTGGTAATCTTTTCACACGTTGTACATTACATCCTATAGAAGCTGTCAAAATTAACGCAAACAAATTAAGAATTGCCAACTAATGCAGTTCACTGTTAAAGTTCTTGGTAGACACGGTGATCATGCAATACTGGTAAATTAATGGAGGAGCTAATCTTCATCCTGTAGAAGCTGTCAGTGTGGGAGACCTGTCAAAACAAGTGTCTTGAAAACCTAATGTTATTGAATGGTATATATATATATTCTAGATTATTCGTGGAAATGTTTCATGAAGCCTTAATTAGTTATTATTAATTAAACCTGTTAAATTGGTGATTTCTTCCTCTTCATTATCTTTACATAGGTAGACAGCACATCCTGGGAGACCTGTCAAAATAAACACAGTACAATGAGTAAATATTTCTGTATAGCTTCAATGTCTTGAAAAAAACTAATGTGATTGTATGGTATATTTTTTATTGTTCATGGAAATGTAGACCTGAATTTTGTCAAGTCTTTAAAATACCAACCCGTAATATTAAACAAGAGGCTCATGGGCCACATCACTCACCTGAGCACTATGGCTAGGAAAAAATAGAAATTGGTTTATAATTGAAAAGTTTAAATCCAAAAGTAGTCCCATGACCAATCATGGCTTTGCCCCTCTTGAGAAGATGAGAATTTTCCTAAATATTTCTATGTGAAACTTTGGTTGGGCATTGTGGCCTAACCCTACCCAAGGGGGTCATGATTTGAACAAATATATTATCAATTATGGCTTTGCATTGATTCCATTATATGTATATGCACTATAAAAAAATGTTATAATCGAAAAAACATCGAATTTACTTTACTTGGCATAAATATGTAAACAATTGATGTATTTAACAACATATAGATTTTCATGTTTCTCTATCATTATTTTTGTTTATGTATTGTTGTTATTTATAAAAAATACTGAATAAAATCTTATTACAAAAAAAAAAAAAAAAAAATTATGGCTTTGCTATTCTTAAGAAGAAGATTTTTAAAGAATTTTCCTATATATCTCTATGTACCTGGTTAAACTTTGGTCAGCCATTGTGGCCCTTCCCTACCCCCGGGGGTCATGATTTGAACAAATTAAATGGAATCTACACTATCTGAAGATGCTTCCATATAAATATGATGAATTATGGATTTGCTATTCTTGAGAAAAAAGATTTTTAAAGAATTTTCCTACATACTTCTATGTAAGTAAAACTCGTCGACCATTGTGTCCCCACCCTAACCATGGGGGTCATGTTTTGAACAAATTTCAATCTACACTACCTGAGGATGTTTCCATATAAATATGATGAGTTATGTCTTTGTCATTCTTGAGAAGAAGATATTTAAAGAATTTTCTTATATATTTCTATGTAAAACTTTGGTCAGCCATTTTGGCCCCGCCCTACCTCCAGGGGTCATGATTTGAATAACCTTAAATGTACACTACCTGAGGATGTTTCCCCATAAGTTTCATCTTTCCTGGCACAGCGGTTCTTTTTAAAAGAAGATTTTTAAAACATCCCATCAAATTTTCCTTAATTCCAAATTATCTCTGCTTAAATGAAGACATGGCCCTTCATTTGAAGAAACTTGAATCCCCTTCACCTAAGGATGCATTGTGGAAAGTTTAGTTAAAATAGGCCCAGCGGTTCTTGTGAAAATGTGAAAAGTTTACACACAGACGGACAGACAGACAGACACCAGATAAAATGTGATCAGAAAAGCTCACTTGAACCTTCGGCTCAGGTGAGCTAAAAATTAAAAGATTTTTTTAAACCTGTCAAAACGGTGGTTTCTTCAGCCTATTTAGCTTTACATAGTTAAACAGCACATCCTGGGAGACCTGTCAAAACAAACTAAGTACAATGAGTAAATATTTCTGTAAAGCTTCAATGTCTTAAAAGACTAATGTTATACATGTAGTATGGTTTAACTTAGATTATTCATGGAAATGTTTCATTCCGATTTACACTCCTGTATATAAAGGTGGAAAAAAATACCTGTATAATGGATCGTTATCCTTGCAATCCTCTCACACGTTGTACATTGCATGTGTAGAATCTGTCAAAATTAACACAAACAAATTAAAGATTGACACAAAATGCAGTTCACTGTTACAGTTCTTAGTAGACATTATGATCATGCAAAACTGGTAAATTAATGCTTCAGGATTCTAATCAGAATCTGATAGACAATTTATTTTGTAGTACATGTACCAGTGTTTGACTTATTTGTGCTTTAGTTTATTGATAAAAGTCATGGTGTCTTACGAAATCTTAGGGCTAGATATGGTTTTTAAAAAATCATTAATTACTACAGCTATCACCGTCAAATTTTTACTTGTTAACAAAGCCATTTTACTAACTCACTAAACTATAAACTAAAACTATTATTATTAATTATAGTAATATTTGGTCACACATTGTGAAACTTATAATTATAGTGCAATTTATCACAAGAAATGACATTTCTGGACATCTGGATTTTTAAAAACCTTTTTAAGGTAATAAAGGAATGTTTTATTGTAAATTGATAGAGAGTATTGATTGAAAAAAGCGGTTGAAGTCGTCGCAAAAAATCCCTAATCACATTGTACGGGAGTGAGCTGAAAGGTCATAGGGACACCAGACCAAGATTTAAGTCCCTATGACATCTCATTGAGATTAAGGGTCCTTAACTGTGGCCTTGCTAGCAATGCCCAAGCAAGGGGGAGGTAACTTTCCAGATATCCTCAGCCTCGTTTTAATTCTGTAATAGAAAAGAGCTTGAAAAGTATGGCTTAATAAACTACTTTTCTTCAAGTTTTCAAATGTTTCGGGGATCTTTTTATGAAGTTTGAGATGCCCCCAAGAATTACCAACCCTGAATGTTTGAAGTATGGCGGGAATTGACTCGTTCATATCCAGTATGGCAGCCAACTCGTGTGTAGAAAAAAATGTAAACAATGTGAATTGAACGTCTGATGGTCTGTTTACTTCATTGTCAATGTGATATATTTTATATTCTTGTTTATGAACTATGTTCTGAAACAGCTGAAGTATTTTATTGATTAAATTTCTTTCAAAGGCTATCGTGTGCGAAAACCAAAATAGAGTTCATCTCAAAGTGAACAAGACTAAATTTCAAGATTGACTTACCTTGTTGAAGAAAATAATGAAAGTCAAATAAAAAACTTCATTTATAATCATACTTTGACTTTTATTGACAAGTTTATTTCTTTAAAAAATGAGACAATCCGGGAAGAGTTATTCCGGTACAAGTCTTGTTTTATAGTAATGTTCAGCTAGGTGGCGTCATTTGGCAGAGATTATAAATACAACTGAAGCGATGAAGTTGATGCAGAAGTGAGAACACAAGCGGCTATCAATTGATGATAAGTAAGTAGTATTTTTTAAAAAGAATAAATATATTTAAAGCTTTAGACATGATAGATGTGACTGAATATGTCTTTCCTGGCTTTGGATATTATTTATCACCAAGAAAGCTACTGGGGGAGCCAGTAAGAGCTGAGCTGTAAGAGCCGGTTAAAAACAATTTCATAAGAGCTGATCTGTTAGAGCCAGTAACTCAAAGAGCCATGTTGTAAGAGCTAGCGAGTAGAAGAGCCAAGCTGTACATGTAAGAGCTGATCGCTTCAGAGCCAGCATCACTTTGATTTTTCTGTACATAAGGCCACATAAAATTAATCTTTAGATTCTCATCCAAATTTGCTAAAAAATCGGGGCGGGTGGGCGGATTTTATTTTTTATTTTTTTATAAGTGTTAAATTGTATAAATAACAAAAAACATGCACTCTTTGTACACATTTTTTTTCATTATATGTCAATCTCAAAATGAATAGATTTTCTTTTCATATTCTTTTAAATATTGAAAGAAAATTATCGCTTTTAGATAATTAAATTCAAAGTTAATTAATTAACAAATTATCAAGTACACATATACGGCACACCCAATGAGGATACCAATAAATTGTGTAACCATGACTTCTCCTCGACCTTTCTCCAAACACCTTTTAGTTTTACCAACAAATCCCTCTGTTTTGTGTAAAATATTATAGATTTCCACCTTCCCCAAAATTTGATCGATCTTGAGACTTGACATATTCGACATTAAAATAGGTCATATTTGCAAAATCCATAAAATATTCTAATAAAATTTTACTGAAGAACCTAGGCCTGAACAGTTTTAAGAGTTAACATAAGTCATTTCCTTAGCACTTCACATTCTCAAAAGTCTGCCAACGATGTTTTATTTTTTTCTTCAAAGTAAAATCTATACTGACAAATTATCTATTCCTTCAATATTTAAACTGCTTTTATTGCAGATTTTTCTCCATTTTTCACATGACTCTTTTGCTATAAATAGCGACACGTGAATTTTATACATTGTACAGATGGGAGATAACTCTTAAACTTTGATCTAAATATTTGCTGAATAACAATACTTGAAAATACCCAAAAATCAAAATAAAAAACACCGGGGCGGGACATTTTGAGAGGGGCGGGCGGGGATGAGAATCTAAAGATTAATTTTATCTGGCCTAACTGATAAATGACAAGTAGTCTAACATTAATTCGTATATATTGCTCAATCATATATTTGTATAAATTGAACCTGTCAGGTCCTCAGAAAGTTAACTGAGGGGATTCAACCGCCTCTGCTAATTGTTATAGTATAATTAGGTTTCACACTATAAAAACAACAGAACAGATGGATAATGACAGACTCTATATAAATAAGGAAAACAAAGGAAGACAACTCTTGCATTTTACAAACTGTGTCATATATTTGTCTGTGTCTCAACAGTGGCACGAGAATATTATGATATTTCAGATAAAGTTAACTAACTGGTACCTAGGTTATATTGCTAAATCATTTTGATCTAGCATTCCTCATGATTCCTGTATTATCTGCTTTTTATTGGCCGATGTACACTTTCTAATCATTTTCCTCAAAAAGATGGATAACTCTGTAAGAATTCTGCATTTTTTAAACATTCACAAAAAGCTTAATTTTCACCCGATTTGAGAAATGAATCAGTGTACTTTACACAATAAACGAATTTCACATTCCTAAGAGTTATCTCCCATTGTTGGCGTAACGCTCATTTTTCCCACTTTGTCCTTTATAAATTACCTGTTAATATTTTTAAATCTCAAACGTTATAGTACAATTTCAATCTGCACGTGTATATGGTGTATTGCCAGAGTATGGGGCAACATGAAAAACATAATTTGCATATTCATATAGATTTTTTTTCTAGGATACTGACCCATAAAGTTGGTAAGGTTATAGAGGGAAAACAGCGTCTTACGCTGGTTGACCCCGGATTGACCCCGCAAAGGGGAATAACTTTTGTAAATGTGAAAGTCGTCTATGAATATAAAAAAACCCTGACATTTTTTGGACTCCTTAAAAAATATTGGGCATTGCTACCGTTGCTCAGTTTACAATACCACTGTTTTCAGAACTCTTTAGTTCTGTTTAGAGTGCAGTGTAGACAGTCTAGACGAACTCCAAAAACGGCGTGAACTCCAAAAAAGAAGTCTTTGGCTCCGTCATGCATTGCGGCAAAATGGCTTCCGATGTAAACAAACGATGGATTGTCGTTCGCTTTCTCCACAAATACGACTGAATAATGGCTGTATTTAGTAAACTGTGACTGGATTTCAATTTTTGTTGAATAAATAATTGTACCCATTAAATTATTTAGTGGTTATTGACTTATTTATCACTCTGTACTCTTGCAAAATAGTGATTTGGGATATACGTACGACACCGGGATTCAATAAAGTCGGTAAGAATAAATTTTCTAACTTGTCCCCTTGATTTAAATTTTATGCCATAATTCCTACTGTAAAGATGCTTAAATTTTACTTCTAAGACACTTATATATATCGTTTTTTTTAATGAAAAAACCGCACAATTTTGGCGGCGGAGCAGAGATGTTAACAGGTTCGATTTGAGAAGACTTTTTTACCGTAATTTTAAAAGAATGATTTTTTTTAAGTTCTTAATTTCATAGATTATAATTCTAAAAATGTTTTCATTATTATATCTATTCATATGTGAAAACATTAGGTATATATATAGCGATGGTGATAACTAAAGCTCTCAATATTCAGATGTCATACAGGATTATATGACGAAATAATATTACAAACAGGTAAAAATTCGGTCAATGTTTAACAGTGACAACATATATATTACATGTTCAATTTTACATATTTTTCCCTTTTATTATATATTTAATTCCCAAACGTTTATTTTTCTTTGTATTTGATCTAACTTGAAACGTGAACTTTTTTCAAAAAAGCCTCGGAGGAAATGTGGAAACTGATTGGATTCTCATGTAACTGTCACCTGATCGACTCTTATTTATGATTAAAACCATCAATTCAGTACTTTTTTAATTATTGGTAAGATGTATTTACAATGCAGTTGCTCATTGCTGATCTAAACATCCTGAAATTCATTCGTACACGATAGACATGAAAGACAGAGGAAATTCGAACTGAAAATTCGCTAGCATTCCTTACTTACAAAAAAAACTTCTAAAATCAGTAAAAGTAGTTCTAAAATGACTAACTTAGTCACTACAAACAAATTATCAACCACAGAGATGTTTTCATAAGATTACGACTGTTTAATTTGTATTTTGTATCCTACTTGTACGATGTCTGGCTGAACCTCGAAGTTGGTCAACTTTGACTTGAAATTAAAAACTATTTGCACATGAAATCAAAATTCTAACAAATACGTTCTCTAAAACCGTTTATTATTAATCATTTCTGAGTACTTACATTATTGTAAGGTAATCCAATTTTTTGCAAAAACACTTTTTATAAGAGCCCACTTTTCACGATTTTTCACCGTTTTTTATATAACTGCGCATGCGTTGGACTCGTTTTTTGGAGTCTTTTCTGGACTGAAATTCTCACTTCCGTTAACGCCGTTTTTGGAGTTCGTCTAGACTGGTAGAGAGGGTTCCTTTGACTGTGGCATTGTCCAATAGAATCAGAACTCTTTAGTGTACAGTGTAGAGAGGGTACCTTAACTGTGGCGTTGTCCAGTAGAATCAGAACTCTTTAGTGTT